CTCCTGTAGTAACTTTCACCTGAGAGAAACTCCTGTAGTAACCCAGCAGTAACTTTTATCTGAGGGAACTCCTGTAGTAACTTTTATCTGAGAAAAACTCCTGTAGTAACCCAGCAGTCACTTTTATCTGAGGGAACTCTTGTAGTAACCCAGCAGTCACTTTTATCTGAGGGAACTCCTGTAGTAACCCAGCAGTCACTTTTACCTGAGAAAAACTCCTGTAGCAACCCAGCAGTCACTTTTATCTGAGGGAACTCCTGTAGTAACTTTTATCTGAGGGAACTCCTGTAGTAACCTTTACCTGAGAGAACTCCTGTAGTAACTTTTACCTGAGGGAAACTCCTGTAGTAACTTTTACCTGAGAGAAACTCTTGTAGTAACCCAGCAGTCACTTTTACCTGAGGGAACTCCTGCAGTAACTTTCACCTGAGAGAAACTTGTAGTAACCCAGCAGTCACCTGAGAGAAACTCTTGTAGTAATCCAGCAGTCACTTTCACCTGAGGGAACTCCTGTAGTAATCCAGCAGTAACTTTCACCTGAGAGAAACTCCTGTAGTAACCCAGCAGTAACTTTTACCTGAGGGAACTCCTGTAGTAACTTTCACCTGAGAGAAACTCCTGTAGTAACCCAGCAGTCACTTTTATCTGAGGGAACTCCTGTAGTAACTTTTATCTGAGAAAAACTCCTGTAGTAACCCAGCAGTCACTTTTATCTGAGGGAACTCTTGTAGTAACCCAGCAGTCACTTTTATCTGAGGGAACTCCTGTAGTAACCCAGCAGTCACTTTTACCTGAGAAAAACTCCTGTAGCAACCCAGCAGTCACTTTTATCTGAGGGAACTCCTGTAGTAACTTTTATCTGAGGGAACTCCTGTAGTAACCTTTACCTGAGAGAACTCCTGTAGTAACTTTTACCTGAGGGAAACTCCTGTAGTAACTTTTACCTGAGAGAAACTCTTGTAGTAACCCAGCAGTCACTTTTACCTGAGGGAACTCCTGCAGTAACTTTCACCTGAGAGAAACTTGTAGTAACCCAGCAGTCACCTGAGAGAAACTCTTGTAGTAATCCAGCAGTCACTTTCACCTGAGGGAACTCCTGTAGTAATCCAGCAGTCACTTTCACCTGAGGGAACTCCTGTAATAATCCACCAGTCACTTTCACCTGAGAGAAACTCTTGTAGTAATCCAGCAGTAACTTTCACCTGAGGGAACTGCTGTAGTAATCCAGCAGTCACTTTCACCTGAGAAAAACTCCTGTAGTAACCCAGCAGTCCCTTTTATCTGAGGGAACTCCTGTAGTAACTTATACCTGAGGGAAACTCTTGTAGTAACCCAGCAGTCACTTTTACCTGATAAAACTCCTTTAGTAACTTTTACCTGAGGGAACTCCTTTAGTAACTTTTACCTGAGGGAACTCCTGTAGTAACTTTTACCTGAGGGAACTCCTGTAGTAACTTTGACTTGAGAGAAACTCCTGTAGTAACCCATCAGTAACTTTTACCTGAGAGAAACTCCTGTAGTAACCCAGCAGTCCCTTTTATCTGAGGGAACTCCTGTAGTAACTCAGCAGTCACTTTTACCTGAGGGAACTCCTGTAGTAATCCAGCAGTCACTTTCACCTGAAGGAACCTCCTGTAGTAACCCAGCAGTCACCTGAGGGAAACTCCTGTAGCAATCCAGCAGTCACCTGAGGGAAACTCCTGTAGTAACCTAGCAGTCACTTTCACCTGAGGGAACCTCCTGTAGTAACCCAGCAGTCACCTGAGGGAAACTCCTGTAGCAATCCAGCAGTCACCTGAGGGAAACTCCTGTAGTAACTTTTACCTGAGAGAAACTCCTGTAGTAACCCAGCAGTCACTTTCACCTGAGAAAAACTCCTGTAGTAACCCAGCAGTCTCTTTTATCTGAGGGAACTCCTGTAGTAACTCAGCAGTCACTTTTACCTGAGGGAACTCCTGTAGTAACCCAGCAGTCACCTGAGGGAAACTCCTGTAGCAATCCAGCAGTCACCTGAGGGAAACTCCTGTAGTAACCTAGCAGTCACTTTCGCCTGAGGGAAACTCCTGTAGTAACCCAGCAGTCACTTTCACCTGAGGGAACTCCTGTAGTAACCCAGCAGTCTCTTTTATCTGAGGGAACTCCTGTAGTAACTCAGCAGTCACTTTTACCTGAGGGAACTCCTGTAGTAACCCAGCAGTCACCTGAGGGAAACTCCTGTAGCAATCCAGCAGTCACCTGAGGGAAACTCCTGTAGTAACCTAGCAGTCACTTTCGCCTGAGGGAAACTCCTGTAGTAACCCAGCAGTCACTTTCACCTGAGGGAACTCCTGTAGTAACCCAGCAGTCACTTTCACCTGAGGGAACTCCTGTATGTGTGACTGAAGCATAATCAAACCTTGAAAAATTTGCCAGATGTTCAATGACCCCCCCCCCCCCCCCCCCCCCAACAATAATGGTTTCAATACCGCTGAACTGGCTTCCCTGCGTTTTCTCTTCTGGGTTTCACACCTGAAAAAGGCTCTGAGTCAAGGAGTTTCAAATTTATGAGGAAGAAATCTGGAATGCCAAAATGAAATAAACAAAAATTCGAAAAGGCCAATGTAGGTGAACATACAAATATTTAATACATTTGATTCCATACACACAAAAATCGAACCTCTTAGTCGTGTGGGCACAGCAGGTCAAAGGTAGTAAGTAAAACATACAGAATTATTCTGCCCCCACTTCAGCATACAGCGTAAGGGCACAAGATATTTAAATAACTACCAGCCCCCTGTTGATAACAAGGTGTAAACTAGCAACTGTGTCCAGCCTGCGCTGTTATCGCACACAAGGCTGAACACACCCACATTTATTACTGTTCCTGCAAAAGATAATGTTTGCAAAGAATGTACATAATTTATTTGGATTGTTGCTCCTGTTTAAAGGGAAGTAAACATGTTGAACACATTTCTATAGTCAAGTCAGTGATTACAGCCCCTGTTTTAAAATCTATGTGCATCATCTTCATGTTGTTGACCTTCAAGGCAATTAGAATTGCTTTACCCTGCTGCTGTTCAGCATATGGTGCCCCAAGGCATTTTTCATTTCTACCTTTCCCTTTCGACTGTTCTTCTCCAGGTACCCTCAGGTCGTCAACGTCTCCTTACTTCATCTGCTGACCACTGGGGAACTGCTCCAGCCAAAGTGTCATGTGACCGTCGTGCAAACATGCTATCCTGTCAATGAGGAAATAACATCTCCAAGAACATAACCTACCACAGGATACTGTATTAAAATCTTGGCCCAGCAAAGACAAGGGAACAGATGACAAAGAACTAAGTTTGCACATAAACTAGATATCATCTAACATAAACACCAGGTATAAATATAATGTCAATACAAGAATTCAAGCCAGACAACAAATAACTGACACAAAAAGCAGTCACAGCCCAGGGTACTGGTGGTGCCATCCCACAACCCACAATGTTCACCCATCTTTTATGTCCACAGATGGTTTGATGTCAGCAATGAAACTGATGTCACAGAACCCAGTCAATCTGGCACTATATTCATGGCAGTAATGAGTGACGCTTGGCCCTCGACAATTTAATCAAAAAGATATAAAACAAATAACATAATAAATTACTGAATGAATTCTTCATTACTGTTCTCGAACAAACAAACTTTATTTTTAAAGGGTTACAAATTAGGCACGCAGGCCCGTCTGACATTCGGCCCTTCTAAGCACTCATTTTTCAGATTTCCAGTGAGCATCCTCATATTCAAGTCTGTTCTGTGAGGTTTTCTTCATCATGTCTGTTGACAGCCTTCTGCTTTAAGTACTGTCAATCATTTGTGATTAAGATTTTCTTCCACACAATGATACCAAACTAACAGTTCTGTCTCCAGCCTGACCGTATTTCCCTCCCTTTCTCTGGTTATCACAAAGCCCCAGTTCTGCCTTTCCCACAACATACCCAAAGAATGTGGCTTGTCTGCTCCTGATGCACCTAACTTATAAGATTACTGGTAAAAATGAAAGACACAAACAAATGTTACTAAGAAGAGATATGTGTTATCAAACCTTATGGCCCACAAATGCAGTATTTTCTTTTTGCTCTTTATCCCCCATAACCAACTCCCACCAAGGTGCTTTAATCTTTGCTATTGTATGCAACTCGGCCTTGCTTTCCCCTCATGTGTAGTAGTGGAACAGATGTCTCTTATATCAGAACTGTATTGGACTGGCGTGGAAGTTCAGGGGAAACCATTGCAGTAATTTCCAAAGACTTTGGGAAGTCACAAAGTGACATGTTACCCCCAAAAAATTCCCAACAAACCACAATAAACTCGCAATCATCATCATCAACTGCCTTGCCGACTGGCGTGGGCGATCATGCCTCTGCATAATTTGCGATCTCCTGCAGCATGTATCAGTTTGTGTGCCGACACACCTCCATGCCACGCAATACGGAAATGAAATGCTACTGCTTCAGTTTCTTGCACACTCAACATAAATAAATATCTAACGGACAACCCCGTACAACAGCAATCATTCCATTGACATATCATGAGACAACTTAACTCTTTGAGTCCCAAGGAACGCATCATACGTTTATAGGTTACCTAGAAGCCCAAAGAACGCATGATGCGCTGATTTTACATCTCTTTTGACTACCCCTTGGGCCTGTGATGCTAAACTCTCTGAGACTCAAAGAGTTAAGGTGGAGTGGCATCAAATCCATCATGCAGTAAACACATGCCTGGAATCTCTAGCAGAATCCTTACATGCCAGGTGACTTAGGAAGAAATATTAAGAGGTCTAAATATGACCTAGATATTACAGCCTGGCTATATCAACACATAGAGTAACTAACATACACATATAGGTAAATTAGTTAGAAGAGCAACAATCTAAAACCAAGACATACGTCTATATTCTTGTTTAATGAATCATGGAATGCTATCATACGAGGAGATACAGAAACAATCAAATGTTGCTACTGGTCCGGCCCGACTTAATCCTTGAACTTGCGGTTGGGGTTGGGTCCAAACAACATCTCTCTGATCTGAGGTTGCATCTGAGAAATCAATCGGTACACAATCAATGAGGTGCATGAGGATTGTGGCTACACCAAGAGAGGATGATACAGTGCATGAGGTTTGTGGCTACACCAAGAGAGGTTGATACGGTACATAAGGTTTGTGGCTACACCAAGAGAGGATGATACAGTACATAAGGTTTGTGGCTACACCAAGAGAGGATGATACAGTGCATGAGGTTTGTGGCTACACCAAGAGAGGATGATACGGTACATAAGGTTTGTGGCTACACCAAGAGAGGATGATACGGTACATAAGGTTTGTGGCTACACCAAGAGAGGATGATACAGTGCATGAGGTTTGTGGCTACACCAAGAGAGGATGATACAGTGCATGAGGTTTGTGGCTACACCAAGAGAGGATGATACAGTGCATGAGGTTTGTGGCTACACCAAGAGAGGATGATACAGTGCATGAGGTTTGTGGCTACACAAAGAGAGGATGATACAGTGCATGAGGTTTGTGGCTACACAAAGAAATGATGATCCAGTGCATGAGGTTTGTGGCTACACAAAGAAAGGATGATACAGTGCATGAGGTTTGTGGCTACACCAAGAGAGGTTGATACGGTACATAAGGTTTGTGGCTACACCAAGAGAGGTTGATACGGTACATAAGGTTTGTGGCTACACCAAGAGAGGATGATACAGTACATAAGGTTTGTGGCTACACCAAGAGAGGATGATACAGTGCATGAGGTTTGTGGCTACACCAAGAGAGGATGATACAGTGCATGAGGTTTGTGGTTACACCAAGAGAGGATGATACGGTACATAAGGTTTGTGGCTACACCAAGAGAGGATGATACAGTGCATGAGGTTTGTGGCTACACCAAGAGAGGATGATACAGTGCATGAGGTTTGTGGCTACACCAAGAGAGGATGATACAGTGCATGAGGTTTGTGGCTACACAAAGAGAGGATGATACAGTGCATGAGGTTTGTGGCTACACAAAGAGAGGATGATACAGTGCATGAGGTTTGTGGCTACACAAAGAAAGGATGATACAGTGCATGAGGTTTGTGGCTACACAAAGAAAGGATGATACAGTGCATGAGGTTTGTGGCTACACAAAGAAAGGATGACACAGTGCATGAGGTTTGTGGCTACACAAAGAAAGGATGATACAGTGCATGAGGTTTGTGGCTACACCAAGAGAGGATGATACAGTGCATGAGGTTTGTGGCTACACCAAGAGAGAATGGTGCAATTCATGAGGTTTGTGGCTACACCGAGAGAGGATAATACAGTAATAGAGGACATAATAAGTACATGAGGTTTGTATAATAAAGCACACATTTATATAATATGGCCTTTGTTGCTATAATAGAGGACAGATACATGAAACAGTACATGAGGTTTGTGGCTATGACAATAGAGGACACATACCTGAGTCAGAACATGGGGCTTATAGGATCAGAGAGGACACAGAAATGATAACCATACATAGCGTATGTTGCATTTCCTTTACAGGACTTTGCAAGAAACATACAAGAATAGATTATACAAACTTGATCAAACACTCAACACCATGTGGATAAGGCTAAGCTAATCTTGACCACAATGCATTACATTATAAATGTGACTAAAACGCCCAACATTGTAAATGTGACCAAAATGCCTAAAATCGTATGGATATATAAATTTATTGTGGGAAGACTAGAAATATTACATACAAAATCAGGTTGTAATGAATGACACATAAGGAATTTATCTAAATCAGATGTGTTAGTCAAAAGTCACAAATGTTACAGCCTATTTATAAATAATAGAATAAAACTAAGACGAATGAACAAACTATTTTCAAAGGGTCACAAATTAGGCAAATCGGCTGCCTTACATTTGGCCCTTCCAAACACCCATCTTTCAGACAGCAGTTGTATTTTATCAATAAAGCAGGATATGTTCATATAATAATATGCATATTATGAATATCAGGAAAAGATAAGAAATATGGCTAAAAATAAGTTAACATGACCGTCATGTCTAACAGCATATGGGCAAAGAAAAGACAAACTCAACAAAATAGACAAAATATGATACATCATCAAATAAATGAAAATATCAATAAAAACACACAGAAAGAAAAGAACAAACAACTAAATAAACTGTGTAACACTGACCTTATTTGAGATGAGTTTCAGACGCTCGTCCAGGGTGTTGTCAATTGTAATCTTGTCACCGTGACATAGCAGCACACAGCCTCCAATACTAGCGTCAGGGGGAAAACAACAATAAATGAAGATGTCACCAACATACAGAACAACAATCAATGAAGATGTCACCAACATATAGAACAACAATCAATGAAGATGTCACCAACATACAGAACAACAATCAATGAAGATGTCACCGACATACAGAACAACAATCAATGAGGATGTCACCAACATACAGAACAACAATCAATGAAGATATCACCAAAATATAGAACAATAATCATTGAAGATGTCACCAACATACAGAACAACAATCAATGAAGATGTCACCAACATACAGAACAACAATCAATGAAGATGTCACCAAAATATAGAACAATAATCATTGAAGATGTCACCAACATACAGAACAACAATCAATGAAGATGTCACCAACATACAGAACAACAATCAATGAAGATGTCACCAACATACAGAACAACAATCAATGAAGATGTCACCAACATACAGAACAACAATCAATGAAGATGCCACGAACTTATAGAACAACAATCAATGAAGATGTCACCGACATACAGAACAACAATCAATGAGGATGTCACCAACATACAGAACAACAATCAATGAAGATGTCACCAACATATAGAACAACAATCAATGAAGATGTCACCGACATACAGAACAACAATCAATGAAGATGCCACGAACTTATAGAACAACAATCAATGAAGATGTCACCAACATACAGAACAACAATCAATGAAGATGTCACCAACATACAGAACAACAATCAATGAAGGTGTCACCAACATACAGAACAACAATCAATGAAGGTGTCACCAACATACAGAACAACAATCAATGAAGATGTCACCAACATACAGAACAACAATCAATGAAGATGTCACCAAAATATAGAACAATAATCATTGAAGATGTCACCAACATACAGAACAACAATCAATGAAGATGTCACCAACATACAGAACAACAATCAATGAAGATGTCACCAACATACAGAACAACAATCAATGAGGATGTCACCAACATACAGAACAACAATCAATGAAGATGCCACGAACTTATAGAACAACAATCAATGAAGATGTCACCAACATACAGAACAACAATCAATGAAGATGTCACCAACATACAGAACAACAATCAATGAAGGTGTCACCAACATACAGAACAACAATCAATGAGGATGTCACCAACATACAGAACAACAATCATTGAAGATGTCACCAACATACAGAACAACAATCAATGAAGATGTCACCAACATACAGAACAACAATCAATGAAGATGTCACCGACATACAGAACAACAATCAATGAAGATGTCACCAACATACAGAACAACAATCAATGAGGATGTCACTAACATACAGAACAACAATCAATGAAGATGTCACCAACATACAGAACAACAATCAATGAAGATGTCACCAACATACAGAACAACAATCAATGAAGATGTCACCGACATACAGAACAACAATCAATGAAGATGTCACCAACATACAGAACAACAATCAATGAGGATGTCACCAACATACAGAACAACAATCAATGAAGATGTCACCGACATACAGAACAACAATCAATGAGGATGTCACCAACATACAGAACAACAATCAATGAAGATGTCACCAACATATAGAACAACAAACAATGAAGATGTCACCAACATACAGAACAACAATCAATGAAGATGTCACCAAAATATAGAACAATAATCAATGAAGATGTCACCAACATACAGAACAACAATCAATGAAGATGTCACCAACATACAGAACAACAATCAATGAAGATGTCACCAAAATATAGAACAATAATCAATGAAGATGTCACCAAAATACAGAACAACAATCAATGAAGATGTCACCAACATACAGAACAACAATCAATGAAGATGTCACCAACACATAGAACAACAATCAATGAAGATGTCACCGACATACAGAACAACAATCAATGAAGGTGTCACCAACATACAGAACAACAATCAATGAAGATGTCACCAACATACAGAACAACAATCAATGAAGATGTCACCAACATACAGAACAACAATCAATAAAGATGTCACCAACATACAGAACAACAATCAATGAAGATGTCACCAACATACAGAACAACAATCAATGAAGATGTCACCAACACATAGAACAACAATCAATGAAGGTGTCACCGACATACAGAACAACAATCAATGAAGGTGTCACCAACATACAGAACAACAATCAATGAAGGTGTCACCAACATACAGAACAACAATCAATGAAGATGTCACCAACATACAGAACAACAATCAATGAAGATGTCACCAACATACAGAACAACAATCAATGAAGGTGTCACCAACATACAGAACAACAATCAATGAAGGTGTCACCAACATACAGAACAACAATCAATGAAGATGTCACCAACATACAGAACAACAATCAATGAAGATGTCACCAACATACAGAACAACAATCAATGAGGATGTCACCAACATACAGAACAACAATCAATGAAGATGTCACCAACATACAGAACAACAATCAATGTAGATGTCACCGACATACAGAACAACAATCAATGAAGATGCCACGAACTTATAGAACAACAATCAATGAAGATGTCACCAACATACAGAACAACAATCAATGAAGGTGTCACCAACATACAGAACAACAATCAATGAAGGTGTCACCAACATACAGAACAACAATCAATGAAGATGTCACCAACATACAGAACAACAATCAATGAAGATGTCACCAAAATATAGAACAATAATCATTGAAGATGTCACCAACATACAGAACAACAATCAATGAAGATGTCACCAACATACAGAACAACAATCAATGAAGATGTCACCAACATACAGAACAACAATCAATGAGGATGTCACCAACATACAGAACAACAATCAATGAAGATGCCACGAACTTATAGAACAACAATCAATGAAGATGTCACCAACATACAGAACAACAATCAATGAAGATGTCACCAACATACAGAACAACAATCAATGAAGGTGTCACCAACATACAGAACAACAATCAATGAGGATGTCACCAACATGCAGAACAACAATCATTGAAGATGTCACCAACATACAGAACAACAATCAATGAAGATGTCACCAACATACAGAACAACAATCAATGAAGATGTCACCGACATACAGAACAACAATCAATGAAGATGTCACCAACATACAGAACAACAATCAATGAGGATGTCACCAACATACAGAACAACAATCAATGAAGATGTCACCAACATACAGAACAACAATCAATGAAGATGTCACCAACATACAGAACAACAATCAATGAAGATGTCACCGACATACAGAACAACAATCAATGAAGATGTCACCGACATACAGAACAACAATCAATGAAGATGTCACCAACATACAGAACAACAATCAATGAGGATGTCACCAACATACAGAACAACAATCAATGAAGATGTCACCGACATACAGAACAACAATCAATGAGGATGTCACCAACATACAGAACAACAATCAATGAAGATGTCACCAACATATAGAACAACAATCAATGAAGATGTCACCAACATACAGAACAACAATCAATGAAGGTGTCACCAACATACAGAACAACAATCAATGAAGGTGTCACCAACATACAGAACAACAATCAATGAAGGTGTCACCAACATACAGAACAACAATCAATGAAGATGTCACCAACGTACAGAACAACAATCAATGAAGATGTCACCAACGTACAGAACAACAATCAATGAAGATGTCACCAACACATAGAACAACAATCAATGAAGATGTCACCGACATACAGAACAACAATCAATGAAGGTGTCACCAACATACAGAACAACAATCAATGAAGATGTCACCAACATACAGAACAACAATCAATGAAGATGTCACCAAAATATAGAACAATAAACAATGAAGATGTCACCAACATACAGAACAACAATCAATGAAGATGTCACCAAAATATAGAACAATAATCAATGAAGATGTCACCAACATACAGAACAACAATCAATGAAGATGTCACCAACATACAGAACAACAATCAATGAAGATGTCACCAACACATAGAACAACAATCAATGAAGATGTCACCGACATACAGAACAACAATCAATGAAGGTGTCACCAACATACAGAACAACAATCAATGAAGATGTCACCAACATACAGAACAACAATCAATGAAGATGTCACCAACACATAGAACAACAATCAATGAAGATGTCACCGACATACAGAACAACAATCAATGAAGGTGTCACCAACATACAGAACAACAATCAATGAAGGTGTCACCAACATACAGAACAACAATCAATGAAGATGTCACCAACACATAGAACAACAATCAATGAGGATGTCACCGACATACAGAACAACAATCAATGAAGGTGTCACCAACATACAGAACAACAATCAATGAAGGTGTCACCAACATACAGAACAACAATCAATGAAGATGTCACCAACATACAGAACAACAATCAATGAAGATGTCACCAACACATAGAACAACAATCAATGAGGATGTCACCGACATACAGAACAACAATCAATGAAGGTGTCACCAACATATAGAACAACAATCAATGAAGATGTCACCAACATATAGAACAATAATCATTGAAGATGTCACTAACAAAGAATAACATTGACAAATCTCCAAGCAGACAATGACAACACCGACACATCTTCAGACAAACAATGACAGATCTCCAGACAGACAATAACAACACTGACACATCTCCAGGCAAGCAATAACAACAAAGAAATCTCCAGACAGACCATAACAACTCTGACATATCTCCAGGCAAAAAATAACAAAACAGACTGATCTTCAAACAGAGAATGACAACACTGACAGATCTCCAGACAGACAATAACTACACTGACACATCTCTAGAAAGACAACAAAGACAGATCTCCAGGCAAAAAATGACATGACACATATCCAGAAAATGTCAGTAGCACTCACAGATCTGGATTCAGGAAGTTGTTCTCGTCAATCAATATCTTCACATCTCTTCCCTTGGTGATCTGCTTGTACTTCTCCTGCAGTTCTGGGATCAAGCTCTGAAGGTCACACACAAAGAGAAACCAAAATAGAAACAACTTATCTCCTGCCGGACACAGTCATGTAGAAGTGAGGGTCTCTTATTAATTATGCTAGAGGCACATTGGTTATATGGTGCTTGAATAATACTTGTACAGATCAAACAGCACTGAACTGGTGGTGTGGTCGGTGGCATCATCCTGCATGACTTGACCAACATCCTGCATGACTTGACTATCAAGGAGAACTATCTCAAAAACAGCATCCTCTCCCGGAAGATGCGCAGTTTTGTGTACATGTCAAGGGAGAGAACGGTGGCGGATGGTGCAATTTCTGGGAAATGAAGCATAGGCTGACTCCTGCGCAGGGGGATACACTATACTGAATATGCACTGGCTATGAAAGCACATAGGGCTGAAGAAAAGGACAGAGAAAGAGAGACTTTCAGGCACACTGTAAAGAGAGCACCTAACTTTTTCAACAACAGTTTGTTACTAAAAACTTTCTATTGGCGTAAGAATTACGCAAGGTAACTTTTAAACCCCAGGAAACTCCTACCAGCCTGTCTGCCGTGATCTGTCTCAAAAGGTGCATTAACATTTTATTGGTTCTGTTTGCACCTTCGCAGTGTTTTGTCACAATAGACTTTAGCATTTTCTTGTGAAGCAAATGACTTAAGAGCCGTGTTGATATAAAACAAACATTTTCAGTGTTAAAAGTCCTCAGATTGGTCTGTTACTTTCTGTACAAGCAGACATCTCAAAGTTGACCCAGCTGCCCTTCATTGAATAAGGACAATCCCAAACACAGTGTATACAGAGAAACAGTCAGGTTAATAGCGGTACTACAATCAAACACGCCATAAATAAACCACACAATCCGAACACAGTGTATACAGAGAAAGAGTCCGGTTAACAGCAGGACTACAATCAAACATGCCATAAATAAACCATACAATCCCAAAACAGTGTATACAGAGAATCAGTCAGGTTAATAGCGGTACTACAATCAAACGCCATAAATAAACCACACAATCCGAACACAGTGTATACAGAGAAAGAGTCCGGTTAACAGCGGTACTACAATCAAACACGCCATAAATAAACCACACAACTGAACAGTGTATACAGAGAAACAGTCAGATTAACAGCCGGACTACAATCAAATGCCATAAATAAACCACACAATTCCAAAACAGTGTATACAGAGAAAGAGTCAGGTTAACAGCGGTACTACAATCAAACACGCCATAAATAAACCACACAACTGAACAGTGTATACAGAGAAACAGTCAGATTAACAGCCGGACTACAATCAAATGCCATAAATAAACCACACAATTCCAAAACAGTGTATACAGAGAAAGAGTCAGGTTAACAGTGGTACTACAATCAAACAGGCCATAAACAAATGACACAACCCTTACCTGAATCAACTGAACATCCCTCTGCACCACCCGGATGGTCACTTTAGGCTCCAGTAGCTGCACCAGTCCCTGTAGTTGTTGAACAAATGTGAAAGACTCAGACTGACATTTGATCTTAAGTATGGGACTGGTGCACAACACACAAGTGAGTTTCAATGCAAACTGTTACATATATGCAGGTAGCACAGTACACACAGGCTATCAGTCAGGGTTCCTATTTCATTGCAAACAGGTCATCCCCATAATGTCTCCATTCTTTTGCCCACAAAGTGCCCATCGCTCCCCTAAATAAAAAGCCAAAACAAACAGCCGGCCCCGGCAAAATTCAACAGCTTGCACATGAATCAAATGCATAAGGCACATACTAGAGTGCCAATACTTACAGTCTATCACTAGAATTGCTATTCATAGTTGCTGGAAGCAGTAGTCATGATAAATCAGTAGATGCACAATCACTACTCCATAATGCACACAGTCAAGTATAAAACACACATGTGAGAGCACAGACAATAAACATTTCCTTATGAAATTCACAGCTGACAATCAACTCAGCAACGGGACCGGATTTCACAATGACCCCATTTGTTGCCCCCACCCAGTTGGGGTTGAAACCCTAACCTTCCACTGGATTATTTGAGAGAACATGGATCACCATGCAATGGCGAAGTAAGTCTTGGGGAAAACAAGCTAGTCATTAAAAGTGCTGTACTCCGCAACAATGCTCAGTTTTGACCCCTTAATATGCATAAAAAATGACAGTAAATGCACACACATTTCGACAGGCAACGGTTAACATACACAAATGTCATAGTAAAGACATGCAATTATTGTTTAAATGTATAGCAGTCAGCAGGCACACACACGTGACGCTCTCTCTGTAACAAAAACCACACATAACCACTGATATATTCATGTATATCATTCTGCACACACATACTGTGGTAAACATGGGCACATCTGACACACAGCAGTTACCTGTAATGCAAGTTTCATCAGAGTTTCCCTGTACTTCTGAGGGTCTTGAACTGGGACCTGGGCGGCAATCTTTCTGGCATCTTCTAGAAGTTCCTGTCAGAATATCAGACATGGCAATGTTTAGAATGCCATAAACGGAAGAAAAAGGTCAATAATGTGGCACTTAATGTCACAAGAGTACCCTAATAAAACTTTACAGAAAAAGAGAAATCATATGTCTAGTGAATGTCAACAGAAGTGAAACAGAGAAGTGAGCAATATGTCGGAAATAACCAGACAGAAGGGGAAGAGTGAAAGTTGTAAGTAAAAGCATCAAAGACCCCTGCTAAGACCCCATCCACCTTTGCCTTAAACAAAGGACAGAATGACAGTGCCTTATATTGTGGTTTATTGCACTATTTGGTTGGTCCCATACATTTGATTTCAAGAAACTCCCAGAAGACCCCATCCACCTTTGCCTTAAACAAAGGACAGAATGACAGTGCCTTATATTGTGGTTTATTGCACCATTTGGTTGGTCCCATACATTTGATTTCAAGAAACTCCTACCCCCCCCCCCCCCCCCCCCCCCGACAAAAAAAAAATAAAATAAATGCAACTGAGTGAATATATCAAAACAGGGCGAATTAGAGAAACAAAAATTTATGACATCAAGATCATATTACTTTACTGGGGCCATAATGCAGGGGTGGAAAAAGCAATATTATGCAAGCTGTAAGAGGCAATTAAGAATGATTCTTCAGATCGCCACTAGCTATAAAATTCTCAACTAGTCAGGAAAATGGCACTATGTGCTTGGCATGAGCTGATTGAAAATATATGCTCTGTTGTGAAATAACAGGATGCCAACGAGCCAGTGCACTTATGCACCAAGTGACACCATTATTAAGACATCTAAACATAAGTGTGAGCGCCAATAAAACAGATTATAAACAGCACAGGCATACCAACATTGTGCTACCAGTGCCAGACTTAGAGAATTTCAAGGGCTAACCTGCATAAAATAACCACCTGCAAAAATCAGATGCCTGAGAAAAGGCGCAACTTAACCACCCGAGACAAATTTAGAAATTATATTATCAGACAGACTAAAGGAACAACAACATGCAGTAAACACACCAAGAAACAAAAGATGAAATGGTTTGATCATCTAGAAAAAATGTAGTCAGAACAGCTACCAACACAGGTGCTACACTTGAAAAGATCTAAAGTAAAAGCAAGAGGCCGCCCTAGGAGATAACAGTTTGATGACATTCAAGAGCTTCTACACCAACATGGAATGACAACAGCAAATGCTGCCCATCAAGCAGTGGATCAAAACTGTTTCCCCCACAATGCTTAATGACAGAAGGGGAAACTGATGATAAAGTAAATCCCTGTACAGATTCTCACACACATCACAACCTGATGGAAAGGTTATCCTTAAATCAGGCTCACTTTATTGGCTTGTGCTCACAATTGTATCCTGCATCTTTTTCCTGAAAATGTGCCTTCAAATCCGTAGCCTTTAATACTGATCACATGTTTGTTTATTCAGATTTAGGTCTTTCTGGTCACACTCTCCATCACCAGTGTTGTGATTCCACACCTCCCTATAGCAATATATAATCCTATTATCTGGAGAGACAGAAAGGAGCCAGCACAAGGGGAAATGGATGATGATGAAGTAAATCCTTGTACAGATTCTCACACACATCACAATGTCATGGAAAGGTTATCCTTGAATCAGGCTCACTTTATTGGCTTGTGTACACAATTGTATCCTACATCTTTTATCTGGAAAGACGGAAAGGTGCCAGCTAACAATGTTTCTGCAGTGGGCCCAAACAGTTGAAACTGGCAGTGGTCAAAAGCCTTACGTCACTAAATGTACACCTGCCATACTCGTCAGAAATGTGCCAAAGATCTTTTCATCACATACCATGAAAAGATATTAAGCCAAATGAACAGTAGAAATTAAAATAGTGAGATGTAGTGAAGCTATAAAAATATCACACCACGTTAGGGCAAGAAAGACTTTCTCAGCACATGACATGAATAAACAAAGAGTTTCATAACACTAAGTGTCATAGGATCACCAGCTGCTGTTGACTGTCGATCAGTTCCCTTCACCTCTGGCCATCTGATGCCTCATTTAAGTCTTGCTTAACATAGTTAACAACTGATACCTGTCATAGCCCTGTGGGACAGAGTATAGACGACAATACGTAGACAATACGTCTAGTGTGTGCAACACTCAGGTTGTCTGTTATTGCTAGTTAAATGTCTGCCATTGTCCTCATCTTAGCCCTTGTTTGGGTGCTACAGGTTAGCAGGGGGTGTGCTGTCTTGCTAGTTAACTGTCTGTTACTGTCCTTATTTTAGCCCTTGTTTGGATGCTGCAGGTCAACAGGAGTGTCCTGTCTTCCTAGAGGATGTATGAGTGCACGGCTGGTGCAGTCACTATAAACTGCACAGGTTAAAACACCGCTTAAAGAGCATACTTGGTAAAATATAAACTGGCGTCCTACGCAGAGAGTGGCTTCCATCTTTTAAGAAAACTCAGATCAGCAGCAACTCATGGATTTTCTGGTGTGCTGGGTAACGAGCATGCTGACCAAGTATCCATACACTCAGAGTATCTTGCGGGGAAGGGGGGGGGGGGTTACACTTTCAATTAGGTTGTAACTGGTTCAAATAGCATATCAACTCTTCATTGGCCACTGAAGAAGGAGAGGGAACACGTGTGGGAATGTCCTAGGGAACACGTGTGGGAATGTCCTAGGAAAAACGTGTGGGGATGTCCTAAGTGTAGGGACATCAATTCTTGATTCATTCATAACTTATGTAGACAAAAAATACATGGACCACTCACACACTTATAAATACCTCTTGTGGCGACTAACACATCATTCAGTCAGCAACTTACATCTTCTTCTGTAGTTCTACTTGTTTGATTTTCTTGTCATAATAATCAATGATCTTGGAACGTGCTGTCTGTACCAGTCGACCTTTCTCAAGGTTAAACTCTTCCTCTGCCTGTAGCAAAGCAAAATATATTTAGCAATCAAATACACAAGAATATACAAATAAAAAACAAATAAAAAACACAGCATTAAAATATGATCTACTCCTCTTGTGACTAGTCAGCCTAGTGAAACCTGGCAGGTGACTCCAGTTAATCTTATTGGATATTTTAATGGCATTAACATCTTCTTCATTCAACTCTGGACAATAAACAAGCAATCAAACAAATGAAACCAGTCCCTAGAGATATTCAGCAGAATCATGGAAACAAAAACAATCAAATGCAGAGGTTCTTATGACTTGGGGGGGGGGGGGGGGGGGGTGTTGCTGAAGGACACTAAAAAAAATTTTAAAAACAGACAAGTGAAATTTGTATGCAATACTAAAGACATTACTATTTGGGATGGGGGGGGGGGGAATATACACACTTAACCCCCCCCCCCCCCCCCCCCCCCCCCCCCCCCCCCCTGGTTCATAAGGGTTTATTAATTAGAGGTGCTTAAAGTTGGGATGCAACTGCCAGAGAGGCAAGAAACAAACAGTCTGGATATAAATAAGCCAGATCTGTAAAATGGATGTTCTGGAACATAAAAGTCTAGATGTAAATTGAACAGCTAGAACTTTCTACCAGTTTACAGCCGATAAACGTGAAGAAGAAAAGACACAACTCATAAAAACTTAAATAGGAAAAATTGAAGGGAAGAAAATGATACAAGTGGAGGGATAACATCAAGAGATGAATGAGCAGCAGCCTGAGAGAATGGACATCCAATGTGAAAGACAGAGTGTGCTAGAGACAGACCGCAGCCAACCTTCATTGCGGAGATGACAAGCAGAACACACACCCTCAACCACTAACTTAGACATCCTGTAGACCTAGTCATGTCTGATTGAAATGATTTAGAACGCCTCATTTCAAAACTTAGTTGCCATTAGATATGCATAAATGGAGTCGTGAGCCCGTACAGAGCACACCTGATATAAATAAATGGCAGGTTAATGTGAAACTACATTCACAGTAGAACAAAACAGCAATAAATAATAGATAAGGTAGCCACAACAACAACAAAACACAATTAAATGTTAAGAAAGCAGGCTGGGAGATGAGGTGCACTGAATACATACCCACACACACACTACTAGGTAAAAGTAGATACTGGCAGGATTACTGTCATCTAAGTGCACTCACCTTGGCATCAATCTCTTCAACCTTTTCTGAAGCACCACTAATTAGTTGTCTCCCGGGACATGCTTGTTAGGGGGCAGGAGGGTTTATTCTTTGTTATCTAAAATGGAACCCGGTAACCCGTATAAAAAGTGGAATATCTAACTTGTGTCTAAAATTTTGGCCCGTGAAGCCTGAGGTACAGGTAATGTGAGTATTGTTACTGTGCTGTTTTCCCACAGTAAGGTAATATACTTGTTTGCCGTTTGAATTCTGCGTTCACCAGCTGTGACTCCAATAAAAAGGTCTGTGACCGGTCTTGTTCCAGGAGTTGAGTTGCAGGCACATTCTTTTCCCAGATCTGGTTTATTTTGTGCAGACTGTTGGTTCATCACCTCTCAGCTAGTTGCGTTCCAACTTAAAAAGAAACAGATTCAGTCCATGTTAGTCTAGTCCCTGGGAGGGAACTCATTTCTGAGACAATATCTCACACGTGTAGACAGTTCTTGACCAACATGTTCCCTGATTTTGGTGCACCATCATTCTGCAACCTCATACTAGAATATTCACATTTATTTAGTCCTACCGTGCCAGTCAGAGTATTTGCTGATCCTGAGTTTTCAACCTGATACAACCTTGAAAGTCACCTCTATGGTATCTGCTGAATTTCTGTCTTTGCCCGTACATGACTGCAGAGTGCACCAAGTTAGTGTTTAAACACAGGTTCAATAATATACTTTTACACTTAATGTGTCATATTTTGAGTTCCTTCTGACTTGTTATTGAACCAGTTTTATCAGTATAATTAAGTTTTTTTTAATTGTATTATGACCAACTACAAGTTTCTATAGTATAGTAAAAAAAAAAAAATACAATAAAAATTATTTATTATGTATATATCCTCACATTATAACTTCTAAAAACAAAACATGGGATATTTTTTCACCCCTTATATATAATGTTTAATTCAAACCCCTGCACTGCAGCGGACACATCTCACGCCATACATAATATATTACGCCATGCACAATCTGTTTCAATTACATCAGGTACTAGCATATAACAATTACACATAGTACATGGCTGTGTTGATCTTAAATAGAATATTCTGCATAATTATTTGAGATTCTGATCGTGAAGGGTGGAAAACTAGAATTTGGTGTAGAAGTCGGAAATCTCTTGCGTCGTCTGCTAAAGACGGGTTGGTCTAAATGCTTAAGACGGACATATCACAAAATATTCACAAGTAAAATGTTTGCCTACCTGCCCCTGGACTTCTACGTCACTCATACCAGCCATGGTGAGGAGGCTTGTGTCTGTACGAGAGAACTGACAAGGAAATAATGAAGGTGCCCGCTGTTTGTTTGTTCGTCTGGACCTGGAGATATCACAAGACACAAGGCAGCGGAAGTTCCGGTCGTGTGATCGCCGACACTGCCAGGAGCCTCTGCGAAATTTAATGTTAAGGGAGTAGTTTGCAGCCTGTTTGTCTATCGCATATTTTCAAAACAATGTTTTTCCGTAGCAATTAAAACTCTGTGTGGTTTAGAGTACCACTGGGGTGAGGGGGAGAGGGTGGATATACTGACCGTCCTTTTACATGCATGTAATAAATGGCGATTAATAGGAAGTTTGCAGAAATTGGTTATGTTTGGCCAAAATTGGCAGATATTAAAGCCTAGCTGTAGGCCACAACCCAACTTGCCAGTAGCCCATTTCAAAGTGATTACATACAAGTTTTTAAAATATATATATATAGTAGATTAGATGAGCAATGCTAGTCAGGTGCGTAGCTAGGATATTTAGCACCCATGGCACTTCGAAAGAAGCTCCCAATTAGTGGGTCTATTCTTGTTTTCCCTATAATAGGGCCCCGGAACCCACATAACGAAAAAAATTTTTTTATCATTATCATATAAAATTAGCAAGTCAACAAACGTTTAATTAAAAATTCATGACACTTTACTAACACAAGATTAAAACTGCAAATGCATTTTGCTTGCTTTTTTTGTGGTGAACTGGTCTATTATATGCTCAAAATCAGTTTTCTCAATTTCTGCTCAGCGTATAAAGAGGGAAATTGTGAAAACTGATTTTAAGATATCTGAGCAACTCTACGTTACACACTAACACATAAGATAGCTACACATACCTAGACGAACCACGTGTATGGGCTACAGATCTTAAATTGAATCAAGCAAATGAATTATAATCATCACATTAAACAGCTGTTTATTTTACTGAACTCAACACAAAATTAAAGTATACTTAAAAAATATTAGATCAACAACAACAAACGTGCTCGACGAGAATCTAAAGTACTTATCTCCAGCTAACAAGGAAATATAATAATGGACGCATACGCTCAGAAAAATTACCTCAAATATGGCAAAACCGAAACAAATTAGCATGAACGTTAAGCTTCAATCTGTCACCAGACCAGTAAATCACCTATAGCGACCTGCAATCGAACTATCTCCGAGCGAGGATACACACTGATACATCTACCTACACAGTTTAACTACTAAAGACAAATTTAGTTTCAACTATAGAAACATACCTGCGCCATGAAATCAGCCAGGTAACCGGTCATCCCCTGCAATCGCCCGTACCCACGGTGTTTAGCCCAGTGTGTGGAGCCGCAACAGCTGGGTAGGTCACACGACCCTGAGTGAGCGCAGGTTTAGCCCGGAAGCCAAAATGTGAAGAATTTTGGGTGAGCTGGCCTTTTTATACACAGTGGACAGACTTTTGGCTCGCTTTAAGCCTAATTAAAATAATCACCACCAGTTCTCTGGCGTTCTGGAACATAGGAAAGACATCCTCACACTGAACAAGGACCTTGAGGAGTTCTTCAAGTCATGTTATCTTTATGTTGGTACAATTTGACGTCAACATTCTGGAATCTATAATGTCATAATTGAGCTGTTTTCCATCAAAACCATAGCTGTAAAATTCACATAAACTTTCACACTTTTGTCTTAGTTCCCTGCCCAATAAGAGCACAGCCCATCAACATCGAGGAGGAACTCAAACAATGCCATTCGTCTTTGACGCTTTTCTACTTTAACTTTCCATTCTTCACAGAGATTAAGTACATTTGCTAATGATTCACTCACCCACACTTCTCGTTTTTCATCAAAGCAATCTCAAAGAGCTTTCGGATCCAGATTCATGCTAGCATCCTGCAGCCTCGTTTGAACATTGCCAGTGCAAATGAGCATCTTGTGCACAAATCCTAGCAATGTCAGAAAATGAAAACTTAACTTGCGATTATACACCAGCATTGCTTCACTGTTTGTCTCCCTGGTCTCATTGTCTGTCATGTCCTGGAGGACATACAGTAGGTTTTCAAGGTACTTATTGACAGGATTTACAGTATCTCTCCTTGCACTCCATTTATAGTTCGTTCAACAATAGATAAACACACTTGCAATCAATTCTCTCGAAAACGCAGTGATTTTTTTAGCATGCAGACTTAAAATATCAATGACGCAAAAAATAATGGTATTCTCTAGTCCATAGATGCTCAGGATGCTGAATATCAGCCAATTTCTTTGATCTTTTTGGACCACTGCAAATAAGTAGAGTGAACTGTTAGATTTTTACAGTAACATCTGAATTTCCTGTTCTATTTTTTGTTCAGATGCGTGTCTTCATAATACATTGATAGTACATTTATTTGTTGTCATTTATGTTCAATCGAACTGAGTCAAGAAAGATATTACAGCACGCGGGGCATTCCCTTAAGCGCTCCGTCCGCATCTCCAGCAGCCAGTGCAGAGTTCCATTACTAATGGTACAGGACGAAGTCTGATTATATGTCCATCTTGTCATTCCTCTGAGT